GCCCATCGCTGTTGACAGGCTTGAGGCATTTGGGCGGCTTGTGTCCTGCCTAACCTGCTGTTCCTGATAATTGTATGCATCCAACTGAAGAGGTTCTGAAAAGAGATGAATGAAGAAGGTATATTGGGTGCCACCATTTGTATGAGAACCCCAGACAGAACATCACTATAGAGTTTTCTTAGTTTTTATTTCCCCTGGATGAAAGTTTAGATTCCCACATTATTCTAACCATATTTTATGTAGATGAAAATCAGTGTAGTTAACACTTTTAAAGGATTTTTAGGGGCTAGTTATTTAGATTTTCTTCAGATAATCCCAAGCTTGATAAAATAGACTCTGGTAAACTTCTAAACAGCAGTGAAATAACAATGCTGTCTTCCACTTAAACTGGAGTCAGGAATTGAATGGTCATCATCTGACCTAAGCTGGGAGAGCCCATGGGTTCATAGGATCATGGTGAAGAGGCCTGTGACCCATGCTAGTTTTCAGGGGGCTTACAGAGCCTCTTCGCCTCCAGAAGTATTTGAAACATAGTTTACAAAAATCATACTGTTGAATTCAACTTAAAAAAAAATGTTTATTTCACACCTAGTCTCTACCCCACCTTCAGGGTTTGATTTCTTGACTAGCTCACATTTTTTTACTAAGTCAAGTAAGGAAGGTCCAGTGTTAACAGTTCCATTAAAAATAGTGGGATGTGGGAATGAAGCACCAAACCACCTCTGAAAGAATCAAAGGAAAGCAAAGGACCTCTCAGGCACCTGGATCTGGAAACACAGTGCCAGGGGACCACGTTGGGGAGATCCCGCCCCCAGGGAGATCCGCTCCGTCTGGTGCATCATCCCGTCATTCCTTTGCCCCTTTTTCAGGTGAGCCGTAACTTTGAGCTGGTTGGACGGGTTAACTTGGATCAGCTGGAACAGATGAAGGAGAAGATGGAAAGCTCCAGCAGCGATGACGAGGACAAGGAAGAAGAAATGAGCAGCAAAGCTGATGGCAGAGGTTAGTCTCACCCCTGCCCTCCGAGTCCCAGATGGCAGCCAGCACGTACCATGGTGAGACAGAAGGGAGGCAGAAGGTGGTTGTAGGAGTAACAGAAGGAACGATCCTTCTTAGTTAAGGAGCAGAACAGACTGGCTTGAGATAATGTCAGGGGCCATGTCTTTGTAAACTATTAACAGCTATAGAAACTCGAAGGAAAACACATGTTCTGACTACAGCTGTATGTTTGCTAAAAACTATATGCAGTGATTTGTTTTTAATAAGGAAAACTGGTGTCTAAGGAATCTTCAGAATAAGGACAGGCAGACATCAGGATGGATGACACTGAGGCTATGGAGGAATATAATTGAACTTCCAGTTGAATGCTGCTTATTTTAAATGGCTGCTGCTGGGTAGACACTGCTGAGTTGGTGAGGCACTGCTCCAGAGGACTTGAGCCTGGAGCCCTCTCCCTAGGTACCTCTGCCTGGTGCTTTTCTTAACCCCTTGCTGCAATGTTTTCTTTTTAAAGAGAGAGAAAGTGACCAACTTCTATGCTTCCATGAGTTTACAGAGAACACTGGGGATGGTTTCAAGGGAGTTTTGAGTTTTGTACTCTTTCCAACCTCCTCTGGGTCTGTAATTATTTTCAAATAATTTTCTATAAAGTTTTTCAAAAGTGTATTTAGTTACAGACATTTACATGGTCACGATCTAGAGTTGGTTTTCTGTATTGGTCAACACAGAATATGGTAAATCCCCCAGAAGGTACATATAAGAATATGGTTGAGGTGTGTTACATAAGTTATTGCGGATTTATGAAATGCCTGTGGGTAACATAGACGTGGGTAATAAACATTATAGGTATCCCAGTGATGAGAACAATGGTGTCGGTTGCTGTTATTGAGAATATGTCCAGTGTTGGCTTTATATTCAATTTTGTCTCTGACTCTTATAAAATGTACAGGGTTCTGCCATTGGCCTCCTGGATTTGACTGTCAGTTGAGCTGCTTACTAGCTGTGTGGCTTCGGATAAATTATTTTAGCTCCTTGTGCATTTATCATCTCCCAGGGTTGTATAAAGCTTGAGTGATGATCCACAAGACATTGCCCAGTCCCTGGAGCATAGTAACCGCCTAGTAAATGATAACCCTGCACTATAGGTGGTACTATGGTCACTTCACAGTAGGGAAATTAAGGCCACAACATCCAGTGCTGGAGGTTAGATGTAGGTCTTCTGGCTCCAAAGGCACCTCTTTTATACCACAGACTGTTTCCCCCAACCCTTCAGGAAGTGGAATGTTCTTCACGGAAGGGACCTGGCCCTGAATTCTGTCTATTGAGTGGCCCTTAGGCGTCACTCTAAGGTGTACTTTTGCAGAATCTGTTTTTCCTGCCTACAAAAGCCTGTTAGGTGGCCAGTTCCCTCCAGGATTCTGCCTGTTCTCTTTGCTGACCTACCCCTGCGTTTGCCCCCCATCCCCGAGTCCACCCCCACCGTGACACCATAGCAGGAGACCACAGGTTTGCGAAGTGGGGTTCCAGATTGGCTCCAGACCCCCAGCCAAGACCACAGCGGGGGCCACTGGCCATGTGTGCCAGTTCTTCAGGACCCACATTCCCACGGTCAGCCTGAAGAGTAAAGGGACAGATCGAATATCCTCACCCAGAGGCTGATGGCCCTTGTAAAGTTACAGCTTCTGTTAATAGGGGCCATAGTAATCCATTTCTTACAAGGAAAATAGCTGTGATCTGAGAAGCGTGGTTTTTTAATTTTCAGGGTTTTTTTTTTCTTTTTCACATTTCACAAATATGTTCTTAGCGATGAGTTCTTGAACGTCTGTGCGCTGCTACTCGAGTTTTCTGGAAGCGGATGCCTTTGACAGAGGCCCCTCTTGCTTCATTATGTTCAGTGCCCTGCTGCTGCTCTTAGAAAATAAATTATCCCTCATTGGATGCTGTGACTTTTCAGTCTAGGGCTGAGCACACATGATTTCAGAGGTTATAAGCACTGCAGAGCCAAGAACCCCTTTTAGCCCGCCCCTCCCCTGTGACTCCTCCAAAATCAAAGCAGAGGAAATCAGAAGAAAAAAGATGGCAGTTGGGTGGGTGGGGCACCAGGCAAATTTCCTTGCTTGACCAGCTTGGCCACCCCTTCACGTGGACACTGGGCATGAGACTGGCTCAGTATGACGTGGAAGAACTCCATGGTGTCTGGTCGCATCTCACTGGAAAGTGTGGCCTCCACGTTCATGGGCCTTAACCACGTGGGGTGAAAAGTTCAGCACTTAGAAGCATGTTTTCCTCTCTCAGAGGGTGGGGAGTTTACCTGAGTGACTGCTAGTAATGTTAATGGGAAGCCCGAGCCCAAACCTTCACATCGCTGTGGCCAATCCTTTAAAGAACAGCCTCCTTTGTCCCGTCTCCTTTGAGCCAGTTTCCCACCATCTAGGTATATTCTTGCCAACGTGAAGAAATGGTGCACAGTAGCCTCGGGGTTCTGCCAGCCGGTCATCCAGGAGCAGGGAGCGGGAGGGGGCATTAGTGCGGCTCTCGGGGCTGATGGAGAGCTATTGGATGTGTGACAGGTAATGACTGGCCGCCGCCTTGGAGGATGAAACAGCATGAGCCATTGGAGAGAACAGATGACTGGTTTCATGTTTCCTAAGGGAAAGCGAGTAAACGTGCCAGGAGCATGCCCCCTGTTGGCAACGCAGGCTTTCCTCCAGCACGCTTAATTCAGGGGCCGCATGACCTTGTGGCCGCCCCATTCCTGACACCCTTTCGTTCAACGCGAGACCCAGGAAGAGGGCTGTCTGGCCATAGCTCAGGTGCTGCCTAGGAGGCTCAGAGGGAATTTGAAAGAGAGGAAACCAGGCATGAAGAAATCAAAATGAATCCAAGCGGCAGCCTCCCCACCCCCTCTCATTATGCAGTTGGGAGGAGTCAGGAAGGCATTCTGTTGATTTCTTGCCCGAGATAATCCCTGCTAAGGAATTAATGCGCAGAGCAGATGGCGCCGACTCATTTCCAATGAAAAGAATCAAGGAAGATAGTCTGTGCAATTATTTTTAATGGCTTGTGTGGTGATCTTCTTAATTTGTGAGAAAATGTTTCATCTTTTGTTAAAACTGGCCCCATTCATATGGCTTTTTGTGCTGAGGATTAAGGCAGCGCAGAGACACCTGTCCTGTTAACGTCATCCTGAGGATTTTATGAGGTGGAGTAATTCAACCAGGAGACATCCTCATCTGACGTTTTATATGGACAGGCACAGAGTGATTAGAAATATAACGAGGCTGAACATTTCCTGCACACTGCCCTCACTTTGCAGTGACTACAGAAGTGGGTCTTGCTGTTTATTACCTGCACGAAGATTTGGCCCTCTGTGGTATAAGGAAAGACATACGGGCTTCGGACTCAGAACAACACAAAGGCCATATAAGCTCCCGCCTTCGAGTTTGCCAGGAGGAGTGGTCTGGAACCAGCTAGCCAGCCAATCCACATCTGTCAGGCCCCTAACGTGTGCCCAACGCTGTGGAGGAAACAAAACAGCCACAGTCACTATTTAATGTTTACAACAGACATGTCCAGAAATGTCTGTATATCTCCACATTCATGAACACCACCAATGCGGAATAGAGGCCGGGCAGCCAGCCAGGATCCCTTGCTAGCTGAGGAGATGCTGTCACATGCCGGCCGCCCTGTGGTCCAGGATTCACGTGCATACCAGGTTCTTTGCTTGGAGATCTCATTCCGTGCTGGTGGCTACCTGTGAGGTGTTGATTATGACATCCGTGACAGATGACCACACATTGTGCGCCCCCAGCCTCACTTGGCACCAGTCGAAACCCTGAAGTCTACTGTGTGTCACCTGATTCAGGACTTTTGGTGGCCTCTATCTTTTTAGTGAACCAAGATACATCTGTGTCCAGTCAGTAGAAAATGAATAGGTGCCAACTGATAGAGCATCACAGAAGGGAGAGATTCAATAGGAAAAAACGCTGAGAAGTCACTGGAACAGACAAAAGGGGTTCTTCAGGCAAGAAAGGCTGAGCTTATTTGTACAAGAAAGCAGCAGCTGGGGAGGTGAGGAGACCTAGAGCCCAGAAACCAGGAACAGCGCTTGAGAGCTATTCAAGAAATACCCTTAGGTGAAAAACTAGTGGGGAGAAAGTACTGAATCTGGAAATTGCTTTCTTGAATGGCTTTTCAGTGAAGGTTCCTATTGACCTACCTCCGGCCTCCTCCCACTGCACACAGGTAACAACTTCTCCTTTCTCTTCACAGACCTGATGAGATTTTCTGACTGTGGGGCCGCTATTAACACAGAGAAGCGATTTCCATGTGAATTCTGCGGACGGGCATTTTCACAGGGTTCTGAGTGGGAAAGGCATGTGCTGAGACACGGCATGTAAGTCAAGCCATCCCAAGAACACCTTTGCCCAAAAGTGAGAGGGAGACCAGGTTCTTTTTTGGTTCCTCTGACAATATGGAGACCCCTCATTTCCGGGCATGGGAGGAGAGGCAGCTGTCAGGAAGTAGTTTCTCCCTTTCTGTTATTTTTTTAAAATGGTCACCCAGACAGAAGTTGAATGAAAAGTCATCTTTGGGAATGACAAATCCCGCTCAAGCCTTCGCGTAGAAGTTTAGCGCTTTCTCTGGCCAATGTCCCTTCAGCTTTCATTAGCATGACATTCTCTGATAGAGCGTGGACCGGGGTCAAAAGATCTGGCTTCTGCTCCTGCCTCTGTGATGACTCATTCCCTGAGTGGCCTTGAACATTCCCACGCACCTCTTGGTGCCTTCAATGCTCTGCCTCGGGGACAGAGCCAGCTTCTGCCTGCCTCCCAGGTAGGTGGGAGCATACCTGTAAAAAAACACTTAATGAAATCCTTGAACAAAAGACAGTCCCCTAGACAAGGCGCTCTTACTACATCAGACACAGAGAGAACCTAGGAGTTGGTCCTTTCAGCAGAAAATGCCCTGAAACCTTTAACTGTCTAAAACTCAGAGAATATAATGTAACTAAGCTTTCCCAACACAGGATCCATCTTCAGGTTTTTGCTTTTGGTTTGTTTCTGACTTGTTTCTGGACCTGTCCATTAAATCTTAAATACCTGAGTCGTTCTTTTAGTCTTAATAAATAGAGCCAGTCACCAAGCTTCTGGGTTCTGCTGATGAGTTGAGCATAAGAATCATTCTTGCTGTTACCACATATGACTTACGACCCAGTAGAGGAGGGAACTAGTACAGTTACGTGACTGCATGGTGTAATCAAAGTGTTGTGTAATAGCAGACTCTTTGGTAGGTTCAGATCTTTAATAAGACATCGGAAAATACATGACCCAAGGTATAGCAAGGATAAATTCCCCATAATTTAGTCCAATATCAGTGGCATTTGTTCAGAGGGAAAACCCCTAGGCATATTTTAGGATCAGGGAAATAAGGATGCTTGAGTCTTTTCTGTGTAGTGAGGAAAAAATATATACTCATCTGTATCTACCCATCAATTTTTTTCCAGGGCATTGAATGACACCAAGCAGGTGAGCAGAGAAGAAATCCACCTGAAAGACAATGTGGACAGTATTAAGATGCCCTCTATAGAAGAAAAGGAAGATGACGAGGCAGTCGGCATAGACTTTTCCCTAAAGAATGAAACGGTAGCCATCTGCGTAGTAGCTGCTGACAAATCTCTCCTGGAGAATGCAGAGGCCAAAAACGAATAAGCGTTTGGTGAAATCCTTAATCAAACCTTACTTGAACCGTGATGAAAAAGTGGGAGGGCCAGCTTGGGCTGAGAAGGGGTGGGGGGACAGAAAAGAGAAGACAGAACAAAGCTGCTTTTTAGGACTGAACAATCTATTTTCAAAGCACTGGTACCTGTGTGAGTGAGTATGTAAATTAAAGTTATTTAAATGGTTGGAATATGTGGCTCCTTTTCCATCACTCCATCTTTTCTTCCGGATCTTCATCATGGAAGTATCATTTGTTGCAGAACACGGAAGCACCTCCCGTGCCCACAGTGTGCTCGGTGGGGGTCTCGGACAGTATATGGAAACAGAAGCTCCATGACAGTAGAAGACTTCTCTTAGGGGAACAACTTTTTGACGCACAACTTTTGGTGCGTTTTTCTAGTTTTAATACCTTCAGCTTTTTCAAGACCTAACTGCAGCCGCTTTGGGAAAAAAAACAAAAAACCAACAAAAAACAGAAAACAAAAAACTGCTTTGCATAAAAACAGTCACCTGTTTCCTAGTACCTCAAACTTAACCAAGGGAATTCTCTGCATTTGTCAGTACTACCTGTGGTCTTTGTGGTTAAATGTAGAGAGAACTGCTGGGCAAGATGGTGAATGGAGAAAAAAAAAGTTTTAAAGAAAGGAACACAAATTGTGCTTAAAATCCCCACGTGGGTTTTATTTCTTAAAATACTGTGATTTTTTTAATTATTTTAGTAAAAAACAAAACAAAAAAAAGAAACAGACTTTAATTATTAGATAACTGTTTGTGAATTGTCATCCTTTATTCCAGGTAAGCTGTTTATTAGTGTTCAACTATAATTTAGAATCTGGTAGATTGATGTGGGCTAATTTTAAGGTGACTGTGGAGTTTTTGTTTGCCACATTTATTTTCTATCAGTTTGAGTGTTACAAACACAGCACAATTCAGTTTTTCATATGAATTGTTTTTTGGTGTGTGTGTGCATGTTATTGTTTTAATTTGGGGGCAAGGGAGATTTAGTTTTTTGTGAATAGGAATGTTTTTATTTTAAACATGGAAATAACAAAGAAGTTAACTTTTTTTTAATTTAACTAAAGAACCAAACTTTTCGGCACAGCTATGCAGCTTGTGGGCCAGATGAGGAAGTCCTCTTCACCCTTTTGTTGCTTGTCAAATTAACATATTATCTGTCTCACACAAATAATTTCTGTTAGGATGGGCTGGCTTTTGTGTGTGATTTTAAAATCTGTGTTCTGTTTTTGTTTGCATTGTGTTCTAGGGGGTTTCTCATTTATTTTGCAGGCAGGGGGATGTGCTAGAATCCCATCCCTTTGGTGAGAGTGGACAAGAAATACTTATATTTTACAAGGAGCCTGGAGAACTTTTTTTTTTTAATCTAGCTGCCAGCTGCTTGGTTTCCCCATATTAGTTTTTTCAGGAGGGAGCAGCTTAGACTAAATCTAAGTCTACATTTATAATATGTTCTGATTGAACAAAGGGTTTCATTCCAAAAAGTAGAAAAAACTTTCCTTGAAGCCTAGGTTTTAGCAGCCTGTGTGCACGCGTGCTTGGATGTGTGTTTGCTTGTGCGCATGTGCGTGTGTGTGAATTCTTTGGTTTTCATGTTTTGTTTTTTTTACTTGGAAGGGTTGCGGGAGGGGGAGGGAAGTAAGGGAAGGGGGATTGCTGAGATGACAGTGTCCCACACAGCTTCAAATAAAATCCATGGAAAGATACTGCATTTGTGGAATAAGTGCTTACTTGAAAAGCGTGTTCTTCTTTTATTTTCTTGCTGTTGAGAATTTTTATTTGTAGGGCATTTGTTTTAATTTAATTTCTTTTTTTTTAGGGATGGGGGCCATCATGTGGAAACCAGAAAATGGGGAAAGTGTGAACTATCTAAAGATTCGTTCTGTGTCCATATTTGTTTTTAATTGGCCTCATTTCAGATGTATTAAACAGTTCCATACCTGGATTGGGTGTGTGTAATGGTTACCAAAAAACAAACAAAAAAAAATTGAAAAAAAAAAAAAGAAAGAAAAAGGAAAAAAGAAAATAATTGTGACATGCTTTTATCACTACTTTATTTTTCAATAACATGTAAATATTGTAATCCATTGGATTTTGTTTTGCTAACCTGTTAATAAAAATATGGGACCATTATCCTTTTAACAAGGCTAGAATGTCATTTTTTTCTTTTTTCAAACATACCGCATATTTTGTGGCCGCACATTTTGGATGCATTATTATAATTCTGTTGACTGTAATTACATAGAATTTACAACTTTTTTTTTGTTTGTTTAATTTATACAGAGGACATTTTTTTTTCAGAGCTTAAGAGAAGAAAATAAATAGCAAAATGATAACCTATTGACTCCAATAATCAGTGTTTCCCAATACTTGCTAGAAGATAGGGAGATCTGAGTTCTTGAAGCCAAGGGTTTAAAAAACAACAAAAAACACACAAGTAGGTTATTCAAGTTGTTTGCAACATACATTTTGTAATGAAATGTGAGAAATTAATAAAGAATTTTTTCCACATGTGTCTGTGCATCTGTTGTAGATCATTTACAGATAGGACTACAGATACAAAACATAGAAATCTCACTGCCTCTCAGTACATGTAGTTACTTCAAGCCACTGAATGTACACAGGTATGGAAAGCACAAAGGTAGTATTAAGGTGAGGTGTGAGCTGGCATTTTAAAATGTTAATATGTATCAGATATTTATCACCAACTTGGGATTTTGTAGAGGGAGTGGTGACCGTTAAAATGGGAATCAAAGTGGTATATGGTCAGAACGAAGAAGTTCCAGGGATTAAACAACATTCGGAGGCCCCATAAGCGTAGTTATCTTAAACTGACTTGAAGTCACAACCACTGCCACAAACTCTTCCTGTGCATCCCGCACCAGTAATTATCATCATTAACTTCTTTAAGCCACCCTGTGATAAATCAAAGGAAAAATTAATAGTCATGAAACCTAGAAGAAGAGTAAATTAAAATCAACAACCCTGATTGTTAAACAGAGCTGATTTATACGGTCTGCCTGCATCAGTGTGGAGCGAGTGGCTCATAGATCATTTGCCCAGAGCTCATTCTAAAAACTTGGTTCTCAGCCTTACACATCTTTACCCTTTGTCACAAAGTTAAGAGACAAGCGTGTAAAATAAAATAAAAATTAAAAAAAATTGCACAGATGAGACCCAAAAGGAAAATGAAGATTGAAGAGCAAAGTGATAGAGAACTGGCAAAAATGCATTTGAGAGGCCCCACCTACTCAAAAGGGGGCTGGGCAGTGCATAGTCCTGCCTCCCATTGTGCCCAGCAAGGAGCCTACCCTGCCACCAGCCTCTACCACAAGCAGTAACTTAAAAGAAGTTCTTTTGCGAATGGTAGGGGAGATAGAAACTGTGTTCATTGGAAAGCACAGGTTGCTGGGCCCATCACCCATGCATTTAACCAATATGTTTTGATCCAATACTTGGTGCCCGCCATTGTGTAACAACAAACAGGACGGACCGGTGCCTGAGGTTAGACACACCCTATGGGAGAAGTGGCCACCGCTGAAGGCTCTAGGGCTCACTGGACCACCAGCTTGTCATTGTCAGGCCTTGCCCCGCCTCTGTGTTCATGCTGACGACCTTGGGAAAAGATGGCCTTGACTGTGAATGCATTTTCTCCTATGGTCCGAAAGCACACATTTGATGTAGGGAGGCATGTGAGAAATCGGTTACTCGTACACATTTGGTGAATCATTAGCCCTAACCGTAACGAAAATGACTAGGATATGCTCTTGCCTTGTGGCTTATCCATATTTAAGGGCCAAGGGTATGACGGGACAGCACTCAGGCACAGAAACCATGACACTTCAAAGCACTGGGCTCATCGTGTCCTGAAATGTCAGTTATTTTACGAATGCCCTGCCCTGCACATGCTGCTCCCTCTGCCTTCGGTGATGAACTGCTTTTCTTTACCAGAATTACCTGCCCGTTAAGACTCAGTCTAAGTGTAACTTCTGCTATGAAGCCTTCCCTGACTCCCTACATGTCCCATGATACAGATGGTCACCCTACTTATCACCTGTCCTCTGTCTTAATAAACGTTTGTTGAAGATGCTTCTCTTCCCCACCCCCAACTCCAACTCAGACTTTAAGTAGCTGAGACACATTGCTGTCAGATGCAGCTAGCCTTTTTAAATTCAAATATATTCCTGTTGATACCAAGTGTTAGTTCTCATCTGATTTGGCATCAATGTTAAATTTTTTTTCGGAGCTTGAGATTGCTTTTTTAAATAAGTAAAAATATGCAGTTTGGTAGAAGAAAAAATGTCTTTGTCTGAAACTCTAGGCTGTCCCTGAAAAAGCATCAAAGAACTGAGCAACAGCACTCCCCCCTCAAGAGGTCACTTCGGCCATCCCCTCTCCTCCCTCGCCCAGGGTGAACAGGAAATGGATCGGGAAGGCCACTGGGCCTGAAAACTAGACATCAGAGGTGGCGGGCGGTGGAGCAGGGGTTGCAGAAGCCAGCATTGGGGGCGAAGACTGTGAAGGTGTGTAGCTGTGACAGGGTCCGTGACTGTCAAGACGCATACTGGCCAAAGCAATCAGGCAAGGATGGAGGTGGTAGCTCAGGAAGCAGGGTTGCAGGAAGACTATTTTGGAATAGGAGTGAGTTGGTCACGTTTATTACGCTGGCTGGCGGGAAGGAGTGGTGTCAGTAGCAGGGTAACTGACAAGCGAACTCAGCCTGGGATCCAGGACTCCCTAGAGCAGTTGGCTTGGCAGATGACGAGCGACTCTTTAACCTGAGGGGGGAAGTAAGAGAGGGAAGGTGTTGTGGGGTGCATCTGTAGGTGGGAGCTGCAGGGGGGCTGAGCTCATGCTGAGAAACCTTGTCTTTGAGGTGGGATCCAAAGTGAGCGGTGGGGGATGAGGCGGAAGAGAAGCTAAGACTTGGAGCTGCGGCCATACAGAAGAGGCCTTGGTGGAAGGTGGGGAAGCTGAACAGAACTGAAAACTAAAACAGTTACTGTGTTGCCATACAACAGAGTAAGCTTGCGCAGAACGTGCAGGGTAACAGACCTTTGCTAGGACTTCCCTGCCACGGTCACCCTTCCACATGCACCACCACCACCTAATAAAGAAAGGAAGTGGAGAGAGTCAGCTCACGACTCAGAAAGGATACTTCCTCCGCCTACTTAATTATCTGGCCTTTTGAATTAGGAGTGAAAAGCAAACTTGCCTTGTTTCTATTCACAATTTCTCTCTTGAGTTTGCTCCCATTAACGAAACAGCTTAGTTTGGTTTAGCTAACTGCATGCATGACTTCCAAAAACCACATCACAATGTGGGAGGAATGCCGCCTCTAGCAATGCTACAGCAGCTTAACCACATTGTTTAGAAAGAGAGGCAGGGGCAGCGCCAGTGCCGCTGAAATCCATTTAAGATGTGTGAAAACACAAGATTGAAATTCTGACCTTTCCCCGAAGCTGCAAGACCGCCTCCAGGGGGCTGTTTGCAAGACCGCAGCTACAGGCCTGGGCCCATCCACGTCTCCCTGGGACCCTCGCTCCCAGTGGCCTGTCCAGCTGGGAAGCCCTGCCTCTGTGCGTCCTTCTGACAAAGCACCAGCCTAAAGGCCGCTGAGCAGCCACTGAGGCCAGAAGAGGAAGGAAGAGTCGTCAAAGGGCAAATAGAGGAAGATAACCTCATCCAGACTGTGCGGGTCTCGGTCCACAGTAACCCACTGCCTTTTCAGATTTGCTTCAGAGGCTCTACCCCTGTGGGTTTCCTGATGCTAATCCAGATGCCAACATGCTTGAGCATCGTGGGGCAGGAGGAAGGGCACCGAATGTGAAATTTCATTAACATGACTGAATTTTTCATTTCATTCATGACTGTAGATGGTAGATAAATACAGCACAGCTGGCTAAGAATCGAATCTGCAGCCAGGCTACTTGAGTTCAAATCCCAACTCTTCCACTAACTGTGTGACTTTGGGCAACTAACTTAACCTCCCTGCACCTCCGTTCCTCCACTGTGTGGCTGGAGGAAGATATATCTAGTCACATACATGTTACAAGGATTACACATGTGCATCCGTAAGGCATTTTATACAGCTCCTCCCTATAGTCTGTGCCCAACTGATACTCCATCATCATCCTCATCACTGTGGTTAACTCTTCAATGACTTGGAAACTTTGTTTCCCCATCTGTAGAGAAGGCACAGTGAGGTCTTTCAAAGTGGCTTAAGATGAAAATAGAGAACAGGACGTGTTTGGCCCGTGATAGACACTGGACATGTGGCCACTGATGCTACATCTACTGATTTTTCTCTTGCTGGGCCCTGCAGAAATGTGAAAAGTGAGGCTTCTTCACACAAAACATGTAGCACCAGGAGATATTTAGCTCACAGTATGGGCTCTATGGTCAAACATCTGGGGGTGAGTGCCAGGTCCTCTTCTTTGTTGCTTTGAAAACTTGGGCAGGACTGTAGCTCTTCTATGCCTTGGTCTTCATACAATGGAGAATAACGCATTACTGTGTGAAAATGCCATGAGATAAGGCAGAATGTGAGCCGTAGGAGGTCTGCAGAGTATGAAATGCATGTTTCTTGGGGGCAGGGGCCCTCTCAGGCTTCCCATTTCATTCCTGCACCTCTGAGCACACCTAGCCCCATTGTAGGGGGGCCCAAGAAGCACCTGTGACCTGACTGACCAAGAGGTGAGGCAGGAGAACATCAGGGCCAGTTTCTGAATGGAGGTGTGGCCCGAGAGGACCTTGATTTCACCAGTAGCTCACCTGCATCAAGTTGCTGCTCCCAGCCTCAAAAACTTTGGCAGCAGGGAGGTAGGTGCCACTCTTATAGATGAATCTTTTTCTTTTTTAGATGCAATTCTCTTTAAGTCTTAGAAACAAAAGTGTTGCTCTGTGTAATGTTTCTGTGCAGGTATTCAGAGGATGTTGCAAAGTTCCTGCCATTTGCTCTGGATCTCACTGCCTCCTACTTGCTGCTGCCAGGAACGAGCTTTCCAGAACCCACACGACAGAGGGCCATGCAGCATAGGTGGAAGTGGCATGAGGAGATGTCTGGTTTCTATTAATTATCTTAAATCAGTTAGTCTGGCCAGACACAGAAATACAGACACTGTCCTGGTGTAAGCTAAGCACTTCCAGGACTCTTGCTTATGAACCTGGCAAAGATGCTGGGCGACCTTAATTGGCTCAAGATGCTGGGCAATCCTGATTGGCTTCTCTATCACACTTTGAGAGCCCCTGGCAACAAAGGGTTCATGTCACTAAGGAATTAAAAACAACTACAGAAGGAAGATGATTAGATGGAGATAAGTATCAATTGAGGACAGACTATCAAACAGGTACTATGCTAAATGCTTTTACATGCATTGTTTTATTTAATCCTCATACATATATATGAATAGAGAACAGGCTTTTCTCACTCTTCAGGTTTATTGTCCAAATACACTCAGTCGTTTGGCCCTAAGTCTCCAGTGAACCAATATCCAAGATTTTTGGGGACAAAA